CCCCAAAACCCCAAAACCCCAAAACCCCATTCCCTCTATAATCTTCCACTCATTAAATAATAATTCGTTAAAAAGGAACCATTATGGACAGCAGGTACAACTTCTCAGGCAAGAAAGAGACCTCAAGAAGAAGTATTAAGACTTGTGAAAGGAAATGAGGTAATGACGCAGCACAATTGAAAACCATGTTATTGAATGAACCTCTTCAAGCTAGATCACAGGCCAAAATTCAAGAAATCGTATCTTTATCTTGCAATACCTCCATGGATCAGTCAGACTTTGAACAAATAAAACTTTTCAAGTCAAAAGTTAATGCAGTCTCTCCTTCCCAGATCAACATAAAGTGCCCTAAAAAGTCTTCATTACAGAGAGATGGTTTTTATTCGAAATAAAATGAAACATAATCGGAATCGCCCAAGAAGGCCAAAGCTAGGAGCTAGTTTCTTAGAGATGAGAGAGAAGCCTCATAACTCAGAAAGTGTTAAGAAAAATCAGAGGTCCATAACTGTACGACTAAAGCCTGTATCTATTAACATTGGGCTTTCAAAATCATCACAGAAATCTAGAAATAATCAATCCTTACTTCCAAAAACTCGCACTGATTTCCAAAAACACATGGCAAAACTTACGACTTCTTCTAAAGCCATTCCTCCAAATTGCCATAAAAACTCTAAAAGACTCAAAAGCACACAGAAACCTCAAAGCGACCTCTTCTTCCTAACTAGCAACCTATCAGATGTCTCAAATCTACCTAAAAAATACAAATACACAGTTTTTCCACCTGAAGAAGAGCTCTCCTTCCTAAAAAACCCACTCCAGTACACTTCCTCTAACCCATAGGCGCTCTCAGGACCTTGAAATTTCTCAAAGAGCCTAACAAGATCATATCCCAAAGACGGATGCATAAGTCGCCCTTAACAACCAGGAAGAGTCCTTTAAAGCCATTTCAAGCGCCTCTAAGCTCCTTTAGAGCTAGTCAAAACTCAGTCAGTCCTGAAGGAAAGCTTCTGATGATCAGAGATATTTCATCACCAATGGCTAAGAAACAAGCAGAGAGTAATTCTTTATTAAACCTTTAGAGCAATTAGACAGCAAAAAGAGTAAGAACAAACAATTATTGGTACTTTAGATTTACTATAGAGCTGCTATAAAGTATACTTTTTTATATGACATCTTAATTCGTGTATTTAGACATTTACTTTGACTGTTTTATATCCTATTTACCACCTGGTGAGCTCACTAACTCTATCTCAAGAAAATTAGTATTTTAACCATGCTCTTATAGCCCGCCGCCTCCCATCCAAATTCCCAATTCCCTCTCCCAGCCCATTCACATCCCACCTAAACCCTGAAGAAATACCTAAAATCCTTACCAAAATGCAGAAGAACAAAGTTGACCCTAACCTGACTGGAGTACTCCACAGATTACTCTGTTTGGACTACACACAGGGAAAAGAGGAGGACAAGAGTAAGAATAGGGGCTTTGATAGGGCATTTTTAAGGAAGAGAGAGGGGCAGAAGGAAGAGGAGAAGGGCAGGAATGGGGGTTCAAGGGAGATAGGGGAGATGGAGAGGTGGGAGGGGTATTATGTGAGGAAATTGTGTGTCCAGGCGTGGAGAAGTTGGGTCAGGGATGAGAAAGCAAGAAGGAAGGTGATTGAGATGAGATTGGAGAGGTTTGAGAGGAAGAGATTGGCGAGATATTTTAATTTGTTTAAGTCGAATGTGTATAATAGGAAGAAACAGAAATTTACTTATGAAATTAATGGGCTGACACAGTGTGTGTTTGATTTACAAACTGATATAAAGTATGAGCAGAAGGAAAAACAAAAGAGTATTCGAGCTTTAAATTCGTATACAAGAGGGCTTAAGAAAGCTACCAAGCTATATAATAAAGAATATAGCAAAGTTAAAGCTCTAGAAGCTGAAAATAGCTTGATAAAGCCAGACCTAATCTTGAATGGAATTCACAAAACAATTGAAACAGTTCAGAAGAGTGATCTTTTCAAACAAAAATTTGAAATATTACAAAATAATCAGAGAAATATTTAAAAAATTAAATTTCAAAAATCTTCGAAATTTGCTAAAAAATCCTGAGCCAACCAAAGAGGATGATGATAATTCCAAATCAGCCAAAAATCAATCAGAGAAATCTCTAGATTCATCAAACTGAGAAGAGACTCTAGGCGACTTGTTATCGGAACCCTTTGAAGGAATTGTTCTCCGTTGGATTAGATATTGAGTGCTCCAGATACTCCCTTCTCTCAAGCAAAAGTACAAAGAAACTCGTAGAACTCAGCGTGCTACAGAGCCAGGGATCCAAAAAGATGCTCTTAGCAGGAAGTCATTGAATTTACAAAAATTTATCTACAATTGTGAGAAGAATATTTGTAAAGAAGTAGAAGACCTTGACAAAAATATCTTCCATATCTTCTGTGTCCTAAGTAAGTCAGCACATAGATAATAATCTATAGTCTTTTGAGGGGTGAGACTTATACCCAAAGTTTCTTCAGATCTAGTAGACACTTTCTCCATCAAACATGTTGAGTTCTTGATTGGCTATTCTACCTCTAAGTTTGACCCAAGCTGTATGGATGATACATACTGTGTCACTCTCGATAGTCTAGTCTTGGATAACAGAGAGAAGGAGCTAAATCCTGACTCTTTGCCTTCAATAATCAACGTAAGATTCTAGCATAAAAGATAGATTGATACCGAGTCGTTTGAGACAACCAAACAAAAATCTGACAGAATCGAAGGGATTATTGTTATGATGGCCAAATTGTTTATAAAATACCATAATTTCACAGATGTTTGTCCTCTAGATTCTGATGAACAAAAAGTGAATGATTTGCTCATCAGCTGATATTTTAGAAATGACAATGGACTAGCAAGGCTCTTCCCAAGATTTTATGCTTACGACCATAGTAAAAATGGAGTGCTGATTCAAGACTCTGAAGCTTCAACCGTAGTTTTCTTCAAATTATCGCATATAGATTAAACAAACTTTAATTAAGTGGATGAACCAACTGGTTGTGAGACATCTTGATGATTATGAGGATTTTATTGTCAGATTAGAGAACAACAAAAATAGTGATCTATACAAAAAGATTATTGCATTTTCAGGAACTTTAGGACAAAAATATGTGGGTCAAGATGCATCTTTGTTGTCAATAGGATCTTTCAATAGCATTTTTAAAGCGATTTCACTCAAAAAGAAGAAAGTCAATAAATTGATTAAAGAATCACCAGAGAAAAGTCCTAAACCAAAAGGTCTCGATTTAGCGAAGCAAAGTTTAGGAGCTAATTTTAACATTTCCGTGTCAAGCCCTTCAGAGTTTTCCCAAACAAAAACACCGAAAAAGAAAGGAGTCAAGAGAACCTCTTCACAAGCAATCAAACTACGCGAAGAGCAGAAAATTAATAATTTAAAGTCCTCGTTCCTCATCATAAACAACACAATGCTTCCAAGACTAAGTGCCTTTAGGCAAGATTGTCAATTGCTAGGCGTCTCAAGCAGCCTTTCAAGGTATCTCTCACTACTAAACCCTATAGTCAAGGTATCAAATCCCTCGGAGACCCAATAAAATCCTTCAATGACTACCTTTCCAACAGCACCAACTACGCAATCCTCATCCTCTCCATCCTCTACCCTGAAACCTTCTTCACCAGATCAATCACCTCTCTCACTTGTCAAGAAATCCTCGACCACGGTACCCTCCTTCTCATCTCTAGGCTACGATCTCCTCATCATCACTCGTGAATCCACTCTCAAGCTCACAGATGCCCAAAAATCCAGCTTCATTCTAAAAACTGCCCTTAAACTCAACTTCGATATGTACAAATTTCCTTCTTACTCTTCATAGCACAAGCAATCAGAAATCTACTGAGACCACCAATTCTTCTGCGCAAGGCGCAGAAGAATTGGTGGTTCCTAGTAGAAGGGACATTGGCTTAGCATTTGGGAAAGTAAGTGTTTGGGTAATTTTGAAAAGGGAGCATGGAATAGTGTTTCATTTGGGCAGAAACAGAAGATTGATAGTAGGTGTTGAGGTGATGGGGTTTAGAGACGCATTTGACTTTTTTCTTGTTCCAAATCATATCGAAAAGGATGAACGATGATAAGATCGCTCATGAGACAAGCCAAAAATCAGACTTTTTGAAGAAAATTTCTGAAATGTATAACAAAACAAAGACTACCAAACCCGATCCTAACAATCTCACCCAAAATAAGGTACATACTTCCTATAATCCCCAGGAAACTGATATCATGAAAGTTAATGAAATCGGACAAGACCTAGTACAATTACAAAAAAATCCAGCCTTCTTCAACTAATTTCAACCTGTCCTACTCCCAAAGGGGTTTTGGGGTTTTGGGGTTTTGGGGTTTTGGGG